AAAATCACAATGTGTTAATTGTGCTGACACCAAGAGACAGAAACGGTCGTTCTCATTTGGCGAAGTGATACTGTCTCATTTAAATATTATTTGGTGCAATATATCAAATCAGACTCATGAATGACTTTATGCAGATAATACCTTCCTTTTTAAAAAATATACTTTTAATCATTTAGGTATGTGTATGTTATCCAAGGATGACATTAGTAATAGCAAAGAACAAAAACCATCCAAAAGTAATATGGTAAAAATAAACTAACTTCACTTACTGTGAAACTCACCAATGTTGCTAACTTATTTGTCAAAGAAAGGAAGTTTCTGTTATAATCCAGTCTACATGATAAAATCAATCAACGATCAACACAAGCACATTAACCACCTGAGGTCCATATTGAAACATCTCATGAGAGAAACTGAGAACCAGACAGACTGAGAGCAGTAGCAGAGTAAAACCAGTAGCAGAGTAAAACCAGTAGCCCAGTGAATCGGGTGTAAAAAAAAGATCAAACTTGACAAAACAAACTGTCACAAATCACTGGATCAGTTTACTACCAGACTTCTCAATGTTCTCTCCATGTAAATATGTAAATATGTAGGGCAGCGTTCTCGGCACTGAGGGTGAAACACCATATGTATGTATATGAAATATATATGTCTACTGTTGATGAGTTGAAAAGTGGATAAGTTAGAGGTAACAACATATAATAATAATAATAATAATATAATAATAATAATAATAATAATATATATTTGTTTAGTTTTTAAAATAGAATATTTATTTCCATGTAAAATTATTTAAATGTAATTTAAAATTCATCTAAGCCAACTACGCTCCTGATCTGTTACCTTCACAATAACATGAATGAAAACAACTAATTTCATTTATTGTGTAGAAATAACAATCAAGTAAACTTTATCCATGAAACGTGATTAGAGAGGAAAGAAGGAGACAGACGTATACCATATACCAGCTTCAGCCTCTGCTCTTGACTTGTCATTTCTTTATTTGAGAAAATCTGGATATTATATACAACCAAATCTGTCGTCAATGCGCATTAAAATAACGTCACTATTCATTGTCAGCAGACCATATTAAACTCATTTTCCTCGTTGGAATGAAAAACAAAATCACTGAAACAGTTTATTACCAGACTTTTTAGTATCCTCTTCATGTAAATATGTAAATATGTATATCAACGCTCTCAGCACTGAGGGGGAAACACCATGATATGTTGAGGACAGCTACAGCTCACTGACTCTGTGAAGAATCACACTGCAGATACTGAAACTATGATGATCAGGTGAGATTCAATCCCAGGCTGCTGCAGTAAGGAGTCAGCCTTGTTCATGGGGCACGACCTCTACCAACTGTTACTTTCACTATAACAGAAATGAAAACAACTAATTTGATGAACTGGTCTTTATTGTGTAGAAATAATCAAAATTAAATCCAGTAAACAAACTTTAACCATGAAACATGTGATTAGAGAGTGACTTAAAGAAAGAAAGAGACACAGACACAGAGAGAGTTACAGAGTTCAGAGAGCAGAGTAAAACCAGTAGTAGAGTCCCAGTGAGTCAGGTCAGGACTGGGAACACTGGTCTCTCCTCAGTGTCTCTGAGACCAGAGCCTGGGAGCCCTGGGTGGCCTGCAGGTCACAGAGCCCACCTTCCTCCACTGGTCTGCAGGGAGCCTCAGGGTGCTGCTCCAGCTGTAGCGGCCGTCCTTCTCCAGCACCCCGGGGCTCCTGCTCTCCTCCCAGCTGCTGCTGCTGCTGCTGCTGCCGTCCACCTTCCAGGCCAGACTCCAGTCTGAGGGGAAGCCCTTGTTGGCCAGGCACATGAGCGTGGCCTTCCCCTGCTGCAGCTCCTCACTGGAGGGGGGCAGCACCGTCAGGGTGGGACGGACATCACCTAGGAGACACCAATCAGCTTAGAGGACACCTTTACTGTGTGAGAGCTGATTTTCTCCTTTAAGGAGTTTCTGTCAGATGTTTTTTCTGCTCCACCAGTCACTCACTCACACATTGTTTCACTTCCCTTTAAGAAGCCTCTCATGCAAATCAGCACAGAGAGAATCATCATACAGAACGACCTGAAATATATCAAACTACACTGGAAATAAAAAGACAGACCTTCACGTTAAAACTGTAAAACTTCATAAGCATAACTGACTGAAGTATTTAGTGGAAGTATAAATAAACAGAAAATGAACCGACTGCATTCAAATGTTCTTCATCTGTATTTCAATCACATTTCAACATTTTAAAGTAACCCATCTTGATCTTTGCTCTGTTCAATTAAATAAAATGAATTAACTTTTACTTAAACAGTTATTTTTGTGGTATAAAATGTTATACTAACCTTAGCGATCATTTTTACATTAAGATTAAAATTTATCTTCTCTCCAACCAAATATCAATTTTAAAACTTTACAATATTTTATTTTGTATTTGAAAACTTACTTCCAACATCCAGTCTGGTTCCTCCACCAAAAGTCCAGCACAACAGTGATACAAACTCATTGAGCCGGCGTACAAAAACCTCTCACTGTAGAGAGACACGGCTCTCTGACTTTGTCAGACTAATCTAAAGCTATCAAGATGCAAATTTAACTTAACAGTTGGAAAGACGGACTTAGAATGTTAATTAAATTACAATTTTGAATATATATTGTTGAAGTGAACTTTGTCTTAGTGCCAAATATGCATGGAAAAGTTGAAAAGCAACTACAAATTTTCACTACAGTATTGAATATACATTAATATAAATAATAATATAAACATGTTTTGATTTGATATGTTAATTTTGAATTATTATTTTTTTATCCTATCCAAGATATTGGCAAATATCTTCCACCTCCATGCTTCTAGAAACAAAATATGTCTAGAAGCATGAAACCAAAATGAAGTAAAATAGTTTTTATTTTTTAAATGTCTTATCAATACTCAGGTAAATTGATTGATCCATTGATAAACAGCATCATCAGAGTAATCCAAGTCCTGTTGAAGTCAGTCAGAGCATTTCCATAGAGAGCCACTTTGCATCAGCAGCACCATGCTCCAGTGCTCTGGGAGAGTTTATAGTCCTGAGAGTTGAACACTGGATGACTGACAGCTGTCCTTCATGACAACAGAAGCCACAGAAATCCTCCTCATCAAAAACATGACTTTGATCTGCGTCCTCATCTGGACTCTCCTCTGCTGCTGCTTCACAGGTAAAGTCCAGAGAATCAAATCCTCTCCTCTATGAACATCCGTCCCTCTGAAATGAAGCCCACAAAACCATGACGCTGCTTTATGTTTTTGTCTCTGTATCCTCAGAGTCCAGAGGCCAGGTCACAGTGACTCAGCCTGGAGCAATGCGCTCTGCTCTGGGAGGCTCCGTCTCCATCAGATGTAGGACCAGTCAGGATGTTCTTGTCTATAACAACAACCACCTTTTAGCCTGGTACCAACAGAGAGATGGAGAAACTCCTAAACTCCTCATTTACTATGCTAGCACTCGAGCATCAGGGATTCCAGGTCGTTTTACAGGCAGTGGATCAAACTCTGACTTCACTCTGACCATCAGTGGAGTCCAGACTGAAGATGCAGCAGTTTACTACTGTCAGAGTGTTCATAACATCAACAGTCAGTGGTTGTTCACACAGTTAAAAAGTGTCGTACAAAAACCTCCCTCAGTCAAACTGAACAGAAACTGAAGTGACTGCTGCAGCTGGAAGCTACTGCAGAGACTGATACACTTCACTGAGGACACACACACACACACACACACACACACACACACACACACACACACACACACACACATACTGTCATATGTGAGGTTGAAGATTTCACAACTTTTGCTTTAACCACCAATGAACATGTAGCAAAATAATATGACAAAAAATATGAAATCAAATTACTTTGTCCATCACAGCTTCTCAACATCCATTCAGATCTTTTTATGATCCCACTGTCTTTTCTGATTTGCCAAATAATCCAGAGTAGCCAGCCTGGAAAAGCAGATAAGAAAAGTCTTGTTCATGACCTTTGACCTCAGCCTCATACTGGATTAAAGCAAATTCATTATATACATTTAATTAGAAATATGAAGACACAGATTGACATCAGAAACATTCAGGATCAGAGACTGCCCAACACAACCAGTACATCCCTGAAAGCACAAAATAGTATTTTAAATATATAAACTTCAATCATAAAAATTCAAAAGAAAGAAGTAACCTTCTTGATGTAACTATATCCGCATATACTAAATAATATCGAATAACACATTTTCTCCAACATGCAAATCAAAACTCCACAAATACACTGAGACTAAATTTTTATTCTTAACCTTGGAAATGGCAAAACAAAACTCCCCACAACATCCATCCACTAACTGTTGTGGAGCTTTCAATCACATCACATGATCTTTCTTAGCAGATGGAGTCACCCAGTTTTCAGGAAAATGTAGATTTTCAAATTCCTATTTCTCTGCATTTTTAGGACTTCTTGGCTTCAAAGTTAAAATATTCCATGACAGCTGGGTGAACTCCATCTGCTGAGGAAGATCATGTTATAAAAACAGTAATGTAACTGATGATGACTTCCATGTTTTCTGGTTGGAGTTTCTTAGGAAGCTCTCTGAGATCGTCAGACTCAGCATCCCCTCAAACACCCAACACTACTTTACTTGAAGAACTTTCCATATTACAGACACCTAAAGATGTCAAACCTACATTGATATTAATGTCACTAATCATGGTCTAAAACACCATATTACCATATTACATGTAGAGGAAGTTTTCAGTATCATCTACATGTAAATATGTAAATATGTAGATCAACGCTCTCAGCACTGAGGGGGAAACACCATGATATGTTGAGGACAGCTACAGCTCACTGACTCTGTGTGTTTGCATATGTGTCCTGCCTCTCTGCTCCCAGCCGTTAAGAGGCCAGTGTTGATCAGTGGCTGTCCAGGCCTTTCAGAGCCACTGACACGCCGGCAGCACAATGATGATGTCACTGATTCTACTGCTGGCCACCCTGGGGCTCCTTGTTCAGGGTGAGACTCTCTTCTGAAAACTTTGCTTCAGGATGCAACCAGGTTCACCACAATGATGTTCTGCTGTGATGGAGAAACACTGAAACAAGCAGCATTTACCTTCTTCCATCTGTTCTCCATGTTAAAGAAATGAGACTCTTCTGTTTGGATGTTGATCATCTTTCTCCAAACTGGATTTGTCTCAATAACCCTTCTCCTCTTTTTCATGTTTTCCAGATTCATCAGGAGAAATCATCCTGACTCAGTCTCCTGGATCTCAGTCTGTTGTTCCAGGACAGACTGTCTCTCTCAGATGTAAAGCCAGTTCACTTATAGGTGATGACATTAACTGGTACCTTCAGAAAGCTGGAGAAGCTCCAAAACTCCTCATTTATGATACTACAGCTCGTCAGCCTGGAGTTTCAGATCGTTTCAGTGCAACAGCCCAACAGACTGACTTCACTTTGACCATCAGAGGAGTCCAGACTGAAGATGCAGGAGTTTATTACTGTCAGCAGCGTAACAGCTTCCCACTCACACAGTGATACAACGTCGTACAAAAACCTCTCGCAGCTGGAGAGGAACTGATTCAACAGCTGCACAGAAAATTAAACATAAGACATGACAAAAATATTTCTCATAATTATGTGTAAATTAATAACATTTCAAACATGACAGTACTGCATTTATGGACCATGATTTTGGGTGAAGAATACATTTATAAACTTCTCTAACTTTTAGTCAACTGATGTCAACTGTGTCATTAGACAGTTCATACAGATGACAATTCTTACTCTTTTTAATAAATTCAACACAAAACTCAGTGCAAAAGTAAATCACTACAAATGAAATTGTACTATAAAACTCAGAAACTAAATGTTTAATAATGAAATTTAATCCACTTTGTAAATAGTAACCCATTAGAAATCATCTTCATCTTTTGTTTTACATTTGTGCTTGAGATGTTACTAAAATACGTTTATGTTTCAGATTGCCTGAATGTTATATCCATTTATGCTGATGTTTCCTGTTATTCTTTTCCTGTGCTGTAAAACTATATATTCTGTTTTACAGTTATGTAAAGGTAATTTTGAACAGGACTTTCACTTATCTTTCTTATCCACATAAATATGCTTTATTATAACATTGAAAAATGAAAACATTATCATGTTGTACTTATGTAGTTATATGATTTCAGACATTTTTAATAAAATTAAAATTAAAGACTAGAAAATGTCTATTAATAAGCTCTGACAGTAGTTTAATAATTTTAATTTTAAAAAGAATAATACTTCTGTTTAAATAATAATATCCTCAGAAACATTTTGATTTGAACAAAACCATCTTTATTATCTGAAAAAGATAACAGAGTCAGCGTGACTATGAATAAGAAAATAGTATTATTTAAAACTTTTATCTGAGAGAGACAGAGTTACAGAAAGCAGATTAAAACCAGTAGCAGAGTCAGGTCAGGACTGGGAACACTGGTCTCTCCTCAGTGTCTCTGAGACCAGAGCCTGGGAGCCCTGGGTGGCCTCACAGGTCACAGAGCCCACCTTCCTCCACTGGTCTGCAGGGAGCCTCAGGGTGCTGCTCCAGCTGTAGCGGCCGTCCTTCTCCAGCACCCCGGGGCTCCTGCTCTCCTCCCAGCTGCTGCTGCTGCTGCTGCCGTCCACCTTCCAGGCCAGACTCCAGTCTGAGGGGAAGCCCTTGTTGGCCAGGCACATGAGCGTGGCCTTCCCCTGCTGCAGCTCCTCACTGGAGGGGGGCAGCACCGTCAGGGTGGGACGGACATCACCTAGGAGACACCAATCAGCTTAGAGGACACCTTTACTGTGTGAGAGCTGATTTTCTCCTTTAAGGAGTTTCTGTCAGATGGTTTTTCTGCTCCACCAGTCACTCACTCACACATTGTTTCACTTCCCTTTAAGAAGCCTCTCATGCAAATCAGCACAGAGAGAATCATCATACAGAACGACCTGAAATATATCAAACTACAGATTTAAAATATCAAATTTCTCTTCAATAATTTCAACTATACATTAATTTAAAGCATTTAGAGGAAACAAATACAGAAAATGAACTGACCAGAAGGAAATGTTCTTCATATGTATTTCACTCATCGTTACCAACGTTTTTAAATGATTTCAAACAAAATTTCTAACAATATATGCAACATTTGGAAGTACCCATCTTTATCTTCTATCTGTTCAATTTTACCTGAAGAAAGTTAATTTTATTAAATCCTAACAACAGTTATTATGGCAGTGGAAATTTCAAAACTAATCTTGGCATACATTTTTACCTTAAGATTAAAGTTTGATCTTTTCACCACTTCAGGGTGTTTGAATTTCAGTATGACAGGTATGTGTAAAGAAAAGTTTAGTCAAGCTTCTCTGAGTTAGCCTCCATGGTAAAGGAATAGATATAAAAACATGAACAATAAAAGTATTGTGCCTCAAACGTTCAAATCGTGAATTTAAAGCATGATTTGACAATGCTGTATTTAGTATTTCAGCAGAAACTCCAACATCCAGTCTGGTTCCTCCACCAAAAGTCCACCACAGTGATACAAACTCATTGAGCCGCCGTACAAAAACCTCTCACTGTAGAGAGACACGGCTCTCTGACTTTGTCAAACTAAACTAAGGCTACAAGCCTTCAAGCTACAACTTTACCTTTAATATTGTAAATAGTGATTTCTCCTCAGGTTTAGCCTACTGTTCTATATTTAATGGAACGAGTTTTTGAATTGGATTTGCTGAAGTGAACATTTAATCTTAGTGCATAATATTTTATTAAATATTATACATTAATTTAGAAAGTCAAATAGTTTCTTGGCATGCTGAATATAAAAGAACAAAAACAGCTCTTAAAATAAAAGTTTGTTAAAGGTTGACTTACTTCCAACATCCAGTCTGGTTCCTCCACCAAAAGTCCACCACAGTGATACAAACTCACTGAGCCGTCGTACAAAAACCTCTCACTGTAGAGAGACACGGCTCTCTGACTTTGACACAAACAAACTCAACAACATGGCTGTTTCTTCAGCTCTATGTTAAATATGAAAATAAGACAGCGTAAAATTTCCAGAATGCATGTTTTTATTTGATATATTATTTTAAAATGAAAGTTTCTTATTCTTATTTAAATAAGATAAAGGACAATTTGAAACAACATATGTCTAGAAGCATGAAACCAAAATAATTTATAATATATATATTAAATAGTATATATATTATATTAAAATAGTTTTTAAAAGATTTATAATTAATACTCAGATCCATTGATAAACTGCATGATCAGAGTAATCCAAGTCCCTGCTGGAGTCAGTCAGAGCATTTCCATAGAGAGCCACTTTGCATCAGCAGCACCATGCTCCAGTGCTCTGGGAGAGTTTATAGTATTATATATATATATATATATATATATATATATATATAGTACTATCTATGGCATCATTGATTTTTTCTATGAGATCAAGAATCGCCATACAAGTGGTGCTCTTTTTCCTAAATCCATCCTGTGATGAAACAAGAATATTACATTTTTTAAAGTAATTACTAAGTCTAGTATATACAATTCATTCCAATACCTTATAATTGGTGGACAATATAGATACGGGTCAATAATTGTGCATACTATTTTTATCACCTGACTTAATAACTGGTACAATTCTAGCAATCTTTGTCATTTTGGGTACAGCCCCACAAAGTAAAGAAAGATTAATAGAGTAGACGAGAGGCTCCGCAATTTCATTTACAATAGATTTAAGAATTATGCTACAGATTTCATCCGTCCCAGCTGTGTGGGAACTTTCCATGTTCAAAATGATTTTAGAGAGTTGATTTTTGTTAGTGTATGTTAAAAAGAATGAATTCATATAATTGCCTTGCAGTGAAAGTAGCACCCTTTGGTTGTCCAGTTTTGTTGGAGAGGTCTTTACCTATAGAGATAAAGTGACTGTTAAAGCTATTAGTGAGATCTACACTGTCAAGATCACTACTAGCATTTCTGATATTGTATTTTGTTTTGATGTCGGGAAGTACAGTGGTTTTGTATCCACTAAGGACTTCATTGAGCACCTTCCAGGATCGTTTCTGATCACCTTCAGCAGCCTTTATAAGCTCGGTGTAGTGTCTTTGCTTACCTATTCGTATTACATGTGTAAGCTTATTTCTATATTTCGTATATGATTCCTTATGTGCATCACTTCTTTGTTTTGATGGATTTTAAAATATCCCTGGTATGCCACACTTTCCGATCTACAGCACCACTTTTTATGTTCTTTCGGGTATTGTACGATCAATGGAGTCAGTTAGCTCATCAATTAAAACATTATATGCAATGTCTGGGTCTTTGCAATTATATATTGAATCCCAATTTTTGGCTTTAAGATTTTCTGAAAAGTTTTTGTTTTAAAATGTGGAAAATCAGTCTTTTAGCAAAATCAATGAAAAGTACAATGGGAAAATGATCTGTAGTATTACACCTGAATCCATACTAGCATTGTCAATATCTGAAATGATGATGTCAGTGATTGATCTGATGGATTCCATTACCCTAGTATATGAATTTATGGTGGGGAAAAAAGACGAAGAATAAAGAGTATTAATAAAATAATTTTTTGCCTTCTCCTCTTTTGAGATTTCAATATTGACGTCCACAAGAATAAAACATTTTCTTATTTGTATTTATCAGATATAAAAGTTAATCTAATTTGGTTTTGAAAATGTCATGGTCAGAGTCTGGAGGTCAATAAATAACTCCAACAATGACATTTTTACATTTGTCTCAATAAATTGACAATCCGAGTGACCATCTTCAATACTGAGGTAATCACAAATACTTACGGAGTGTCCTGAATCTACATATAGACATACTCCACGACCTGGTCTAACTAATCCGTTTTGTTATACAGCTTATAACCATCGAGATTAAGAATATCCAGGTATGATGTGTCATTAAGCCAGGTTTCACTACAGCCAATCACGTCAAAACTACTGCCTATACTAGCCAAAAGAAAGAACAACATGATGCCCACACAGACTTCTAGTGTTAAGGTGTAAAAACTAATACAGTGGGGGAAATAAGTATTTGACCCCTTGCTGATTTTGCAGGTTTGCCCACTTACAAAGAATGCAACGATCTATAATTTTAATCATATGTACATTCTAACAGTGAAAGACAGAATCCCAAAGAAAATTCCAGAAAATCACATCATATGAATTTATTAAAATTGATAACCATCTGATGAGGAAAAACAAGTATATGACCCCCTACCAAACAGCAAGTATTCTGGCTCCTACAAGCCAGTTAGTCTTTCTTTAAGACACAGCCCCAATCCCAACCAATTATCTACATCAATACACCTGCCTCACCTCGTTACCTGTATAAAAGACACCTGTCAACACCCAAACAACCAGCATCCAACATCACCACCATGGGCAAGACCAAAGAGCTTTCTACGGACATCAGGGACAAGATTGTTGATCTGCACAAGGCTGGGATGGGCAACAAGAGAATCGGAAAGCAACTTGGAGAGAAAAGATCAACTGTCGGTGCAGTTATCAGGAATGGAAGAAGCACCACACCACCGCCAACCTCCCTCGGTCTGGGCCTCCACACAAGAT